CAACAACAATCACCCACATGCACCCTTTAATCATTCAACCACAAAGCCACATGCACATTCACACTTTTCTCCACACCAAAACCGTGCACTCTCCATCACAATTTCAGCTTTCCTCCTTGCAATTTCCACATGCATTCACTTCATCATTACACCACCACTCATTCTTTTATTCCACATGCACATTCAATCATTCACTCAAGCACCCTTGTGCCATGTTTCCCCCTTTGTTTCCACCCATCACATGCATCATCATCAAACAAACACATCCTTGCCGTAGCTATCATCCCATTTCCAACACACACACATGCAATTGCACATGCCTTTCCAACATTCCTTTGCATTTTAAGTTTTTCTCCATCATTATTCCCCTTACATTCCACCTAATCCACATGCTTTCCCATTTCATTATTCATTCAATTTGCATTCCAATTCACCACAAAACAATCATACAAATCAGCCAACACATGCACCAAAACTGTCCATGTCGTGCATCCCTTCAACTTTCCAGTTTTCCCTTGCATTTTCACCACTCATACTTCATCATTTCAGCAACATATACACCCCACATGTCCATTTAATCATTCATCCACCATACATTGCACATGCTTTCACAAGCTTTAACCATCATACAAATCAGCCAACACATGCACCAAAACTGTCCATGTCGTGGGTTCCCTTTGGCTCCCTTGTGCAATTCCAGCTTGCATATGCTTTCTTAGCTGTTTGTTCATCATTAATTAGCCACTTGCATGCTTAAACAAACAGCCATTCACACCTTCATTCTCCTATAAAAGCCCTTGCATTCTCATCTTTCAAGTCATTCCTCATTTTCATACACAAACACACCATTTCCCAAACATCCTTGCCGTGCATATCATCCCATTTTCTGTGCAGTTTTTCTCCTCCATTGCAGCCACTATCCAACCACTTCCCATCCCTCCAAAACACTTCATACCATCACACAACCTATCCTTAAACCTTGTGCTACACAACGAGGAAGAGAAGAGTGCTTAAACGTTCATACAATTCAAGTCTTGAGTTGTTGGAATGTTTAGGTGTTTCTTTGATTTCAAAGTTTCATTTTAATTCTCTTTGTTTTGTATGTATGGAAGAGAAGAGTGCTTAAACGTTCATACAATTCAAGTCTTGAGTTGTTGGAATGTTTAGGTGTTTCTTTGATTTCAAAGTTATGAGGAACTAAACCCCCCTTAGCTAGGGGTGATTTCAATACCATGATTGTTTATGTAATATGAATTGATGAATTCCAGTTATGAACTCTTGATTCGTGAATGCAATTGGCTTAACTATTTGATGATTAACTTATTTGTGTTTGTTGATTGAGGGTCGACACTTAATTACATGCATGAATATGTGGCTAAAGTTTAAGAAGGTTTCACATAATCGTTACTAACTTATACTTGAAAGTAGTGAAGGTCGCTTGTCACGATCGCGTTAAGTTTAAATTCTTAGCATGAGTAACATGATGTCATAGTTGCAAGTGCTTTGTCAATGCTTATGGTTTTCATTATTCTTAATGATCTTCGATTGTATCTCTATTATGATGACATGTAGGGAACTTTTGAGAATGTTTTGGGTTGTCGAATGATGCCATCCAATCCAATAATATAAGGAAAATCTGAGGGTTAACTAGTGATGTCACGGTTAATTTGGGGCATTGTCGTTCATAATTCAATGAAGGAATAACTGGAAATTGATTCATATGCATAAATATCATGTGTGGAGAAAGAACCTCTAGCTAATTCACCAACCATCTAATTTCACAACACTTGTTTGCAATCTATCCATATTTACAATTTGTTTTGTTTCCAAGTATCCATTTTAGTTTAAATTCGTCCAAATCCAATTCCCCCCTATTTCGTTGAAGTCTTAGTCTTAATCTTTCTTATTTTTAGTCTTGCTTTCTTCGAGCATTAAATAGTGTTTTATATTGAGTTTTTACGTTTTTAAGTCAAATCCAAGTGATTAACAATCCCTCCTAATCCCCGGTCCAGAACGATCCCTACTTATACACTTCACTACAATTGACAAAAAGAGGGTTTAATTTGTGTGCGTATAAAACTCGCATCATGCGGGGCTGAGCCGCGAAAGCAAATTGGGCCACGAGAGCAAGCTGGACCATAGGAGTAGGCTAGACCATAGAAGTCGGTTGCTCAGCTTGTGGCATATGTAGGTGTGAGGCTAGGGCTCGGATTACCAACACATTGGGTTCGCGTCAAGCTTAGGTGGCTCGGGTTGTCTCACCTTGGACTTGGGCCCATGTGGGCTTGAATGGCACAGCTTAAGCCTTGGTTGAGCACCGTGGACCTTGCCAAGGGTGGCCGCCGTGATGGCCATCGTGGTGGATGCCACAGTGGTGCCCTATGGGACTCATCATTGTGATAAGCCTTGTAGATCGTCGAGTTAATCCTTGAATGTTGGAATTTCCGTTCGTCGAGGTTTCCGAATCTCTTGCCATTGTACTTTTCTTTTACATTTTATCAAAGAATTTTTAGAAATAAAAATTCCTAGAATAAGAACGTACGAAAAATCTACAAATAAACAAAGAAACAAGAGACCTTAGATGCGAGAGTCTTCTATGAGCGTGTGACTCAACTCTTAATGAAAGCACCAATTTGTGGATGCAAATTTCTTCCTCCTTATTCTTGGATAAAATTGCACCTACAAAACAAATAACACCTTATGTAAAGGCCAAGAACCTCACACGCCCACAATAAATTTTTTTTTTGGGGGGGGGGGGGGGGTGGGCTTTGGCCGAAAAACCTTCGATGCCAAAGTTAGAATTTTGAGGGAAACGTGTTTAGGGAATTTGGAAAATTTTGCAAGATTGTAAAACTTAGGTTTTTAGAGAAAATGGGGTAGTATATATAGGGCATGGCCAGCCCCCTTTGGAGAGATGGTGACTGGCCTTTTGTGGCATTTTTGGGTGTAATTTGTAGTTGATTAGCCAATTAATATATTAATTAGGTAGTAAATCAATTAATTAGCTAATTAATATAATTTGAAAGGAATGTTTTGGGGTTTACCTTGTGGAGAAGATTTGATGAGGATGGATGAAATAGGTTTTGAATAAATACCTATTTTGGGCATTTTTGACTTGATTGAGGGATGATTGTCCACTGGTCATGCACAGGAGTTTCGGTGTTCCTTGAGGGTAATTTTGTCCCTTTTACCGTAGAATTCACGTGTCGCCTTCATATTTTACTTGATTATTTTTGCTTCCACACTGACCATTTTAGCAATTGAGATTTGAAAAATGAGCATAATTGGCCAATTTCCCAAAGAAATCTACACAAGAATTTAAAATGTAAAATGCCTTGAAATGGAAGATGTAAAGTGTCTTGGAATGAGGATTTTACATTTTCTTTATACTAAAAGCTTTATAAAAGCGAATATAAATTATCCATCTCCACCGAAAGATGTGAACAAAAATGTATATTTACATATATTTTTGGGTAATTAGCTGGAATGATCAGTTTTTAGTAATGACGACATATTGGTCATATATCGTGTTAGATGATATTTTAATACCTCTAAACCATAAACACAATGATCAAACAGCTAAATCACAATCTCACAACCAAGCATCAGAAAGAACATTGTCAAACTAAAATGAGCAAAGAAAACATACCTACAGACATGCCAGTGGAAGAAGAAGCCATACCAAACGTCACACAAAAACCTTCTCCTCTCTGCAAAACTCAATGCTCTCCAAAATATAGGTTATTGGAACAAATAAGAGTGCAATCTTTGTGAGAGCAGTGCTTGTGGTTTTATACTGCAAGGCCCGGATTGCCCTATAACAATCATACAAGGAATACAAAACCCAATCCTTGTACAAGTATGAATCCTACTCTCGAGCCAATAACAGAGTTTCAATCCAAACCAGAATTGGATTAACTCTTATAAACACATTAAGACTTCTTTATATTAATTAGAAATACACAAGGATTATCTCAATTCATAAGAATCACACTCACACTTTAGCATTCTCCCACTTAAGTATGATTCATTACACCAGATAATCATCGCAAAATTGTATAAAGTGAACACAAAAGTCTTATCCCAATGTGTCATAATTTAAACACTGTAGTTTGCACGAATCAAATCATTTGAATTTATTATCTTTTTTGCAATACTAAATACAAAATCAACTTATAAGTCACAAACATCCAATTTATGCATACAACAATGTTTCTCAACTCATAAGTAAACCAAAAATTGTTTACTCCCAGTCATATAGCCCTATGATTCAAATTAGATCTAAACTTTCAACAGAAAGCTTATTAACTGAAAATTATTCTAGTCAATATGAACAACCTGACTATAATTCAAACAACCACTTCATCAAATTAAAATGACTCAAGAGCTTTTTTTGAATTATAAAATTGTCTTCCTAGTACAACCAAACACAGACACATCTGGAAAAACTGCACTAAATGAAAACCTCAAACTATCTGTAAAACAAAATAACAAAACGAGCTAAAACAAGCTATAATACTTAGCTTCCAGAAGCTGTGGCAGAATATCTTTGCGTGAAAATAATCCACAATCATTTTCCAGTAGCTCTAAAACAGCTCTTGTATTTGCAGCAATTACTCCCACTTTTCTAAAGCCTCTTTCACTCCTATTCGCGTAACATGTGACTTGAAAACTCCATTAGGCAATGCTTTTGTTAAAGGATTAACAATCATCAAATCAATGGTCAAATGTTCCACAATGATGGTACCTTGTCTGACATTTTCCCTTACTTTGAGAAACTTCACATCCATTAGTGTAAAGGCTAAAGTTCTCTTGTTGTTCTTCGAGAAGAACACTAAAGAATTGTTGTCACAAATCATTTTCACTAGTTTCTGAATTGAATCAACAGCCTTCAACTCAGTGACAAAGTTCTTAAGCCATACAGCCTGTTTCAAGCCTTCTAAACATGCTACAAACTCTGCCTCCATTGTAGAAGTACTTATCATGGTCTACTTAGCACTTTACCAAGAAATAACACCCCCATTAAGCATAAACACATATCCTCCAATCGATTTCCTTTCATCCAAGTCTCCAGCCAAATCGGAATTAGTGAAACCTATCACCTTTAATTCATCTTCATAGTCATATACCAGCATAAAACCCTTGGTTCTCTGCAAATATCTTAACACTTTCTTTGCAGCCATCCAATGCAATTCACTTAGATTCGATTGAAATCCACCTGATAAACCAACAATGAAGGCAAGATCTGGCTTGGTACATATGTTGGCATACATTAAACTGCCTACCAAGGAAGCATATGGGTTTAAGATCATCTTTCTCTTCTTCAACTCAATTTTTGGACATTGGTCTGGAGTGAACTTGTCCCCTTTGTTCACAGGCACATCAGCATTATTGCAATCTTCCATATAGAATCTAGTTAAAACCTCTCAATATATCCCTTTTCTGACAATCCTAGAAGCTTATTTTTCTTATCTCTAGTTATCTCAATCCCTAGAACATAATGAGCCTCCCCTAAGTTTTTCATCTCAAAATTAGAACTGAGATATCTTAGTTTCATGCATCAATTGCAGGCTAGAACTAGCTATCAAAATGTCATCCACATATAGTACTAGAAAAATGAATTTGGTACCCTTAAACTTGGAGTATATGTAGTCATTTAGCTTGTTCTCCGTGAACCCATGAGTTGTGATAACTTTGTCAAATTTAAGATACCACTGTCTAGAACTTGTATAAGTCCATAAATCGACTTATTAAGCTTGTAAACCATATTATCATTCCCCCTTTCAATGAATCCAGGTGGCTGCTTCATATGTATATCTTCTTCTAATTCTCCATTAAGGAAGGCAGTTTTTACATCCATTTGATGTAATTCAAGATCAACATAAGTTGTTATTGCCATCATAACCCTCATGGAGTCATTTGAAGAAACTAGAGAAAACGTGTCATTGAAATCAACCTTTTCTCTATGTGTGAAACCCTTTGCTACTGATCGAGCCTTGTACCTTTCAATTCTTCCTTGAGCATCTTTCTTGGTTTTATAAACCCGCCTGCAACCTATGGATTTAGTTTTGGAATCAAACTCCACCAAGGTCTAGACATTGTTCTTTAACATAGACTCCAATTCCTCTTCCATAGCTTTCTTCCATAAGGCTGCTTGTGGACTTGTCATTGCCTGAGAATAAGTTTCTGGATCATCAATATCACCCAGATCAAACTCATGTTCTTGTAGGTACACATAATCATTCAAAATAGTTGGTTTTTTTTTTTATTCATGTTGACTGTCTTAAAGGTTGTTGCACAGACTGATGGTCCTGATTTCGAATCTCTTCAATAGCTGGCTCCAGATGATCATCTACTTCCCAATTGCGAGTAGTGCATTTGTGAAGATATGAATCTGCAGACAGTTGTTGATTGCAGAATCAGTTTCTGTGGGATTGAGTTCACTGAGTTCTTCAAATACAAAATCTTCAGCTGCCAAATCTGATGCATATTTTTCTTCAATAAAAACAGCATTATGAGTCTCCTAAATTCTCGAATGAGCATGTGGACAATAAAACTTGAAACCCTTGGATTTCTCAAAATATCTAATAAAGTAAAAAGTTGTTGTTCTTGCATCTAATTTCCTCTCATTTGGATTGTAAAAACAACCTTCAGATTTGCATCCCTATACATGGAAATGTCCAAAGCTAGGCCTCATTCCTGTCTAGACTTCAAAAGGTATACCTTTGACAAACTTAGTTGGTACTCTATTCAAGATGTAGTTTGCAATCTTGAGTGCTTCACCCCCATAAAAAACTAGGCAACTTAGACCTAGAGATCATACTACGAACCATCCTAATTAGAGTTCTATTCCTTCTCTCTGACACACCATTTTGCTAAGGTGTGCCTGGTGTAGTATACTACGACATAATACCTTGTTGCTGGAGATAATTTGCAAAAGTACCCTTCTATTATCCAGCCTCAGTGTACCTGCCAAAGTACTCTCCCCCTCTATCTAATCTAACAATTTTAATTTCTCTATTCAATTGCTTCTCAACTTCAGTCTTAAAGATTATAAAGCAGTCAAGCACAACTGATTTTTCACTAATGAGAAAAGTAGAACCATATCTAGAGAAGTCATCAATGAAATTCACAAAATAGCTATTCCCACAGATGGTTTTAACATGAAAAGGACCATAGACATCGGTGTGCATGATCTTTAGGAGATTTTGACTTCTTTTGGACTTAAAATTTCTTGTCTTAGTCAATTTCCCTTTCATGCAGTCGACACTTTCTTTTTCATTTTTGAAATCAAGTGCAGGAATTAAGTTTGCTTTAGCTAGTTGTAAAACTCTTTCTTTTGAAATGTGGCCTAATCTTTTGAGCCATAAAATATATGATGACTCAGATTCATGCATTCTTTTAAAAGTAATACTTAAAACCAGTGGTGGATTTTCCTCAAATATGTAATCTAATTTCCATAATTCTTCATGCAAAGTAGCTGTAAATATTTCAATTTGTTTTTTTGAAAAAAAATTTATGCATGAATCATCACAGAGGAAGCCAAAACCTTGTTTCACTAATTTTGATGCAGAAATCAAACTTCTTCTCATATTTGGGACATAAAGCACATCTTTTGATTGAAGAACAAAACCTGAGTTTTGAGTTTTACAACCCCAATTGCTTTAACAGACACTTTTGTTCCATTTCCTCCAAAAACATTATAAGAATCCTTATTTGTTTGTTTTTGTTTTTCAAAACCGTGCAATGTGTTTGTAATGTGAACTAAACACCCTATGTCAAACCACCATGAATTAGCAGGAATTTCAATCAAGTTAGACTCCACACAAACATAGACATTGATTCTACCTTTACTCCTCAGCCAATCCTTGAATCTTTCACAATCTTTTCTAAAATGACCCTTAAGTTTGCAATGATGACATTTAAGTTTAGTCACATCTTTTATTTTGACATTAAGATTGTTAGATTTAGAGGGTTTTGAGTATTTAGCAGGTTTGCTAGACTTATCAGCATGATTGTTGACATTAGATGTCTTACCAGAAGCAATCATGGTCCCTTTATTTCCAGCATGCACAAAATTCATTGTTTCTACTTCTTTGCCCTTCTCTAGTCTTTGCCGAGTTTCCTCTTGTACACATTGGGCTATTAACTCATCTACAATCCATGTATTGTCTTGAGTGTTGTATGATACTTTCAATTGACTGTACTTTGTTGGGAGAGCTTGTAATATCATGAAGACCAGTTGTTTCTCACCAATATTCAAAAACAGGAGTTACTTTTTGTAACGGTCAAAATCTTAAACCCCCGAGAAAACCTAGCATTTTCTGTTATTTTCCAACTGTCCAAATTTGTCCAAAAACGACGTTGTATACTTGCAGTTTTTGATCATTCTAATTTTTTAACCCAGTTCGAAGGAAAATATCTAAAACTAGATTTGATTGAACTTAATTGTCATATCCATTAGGCTCGGATACCACATGTTAGATGATATTTTAATACCTCTAAACCATAAACACAATCGAACAACTACATTACAATCTCACAACCAAGCACCAGAAAGAACATTGCCAAACTGAACTGCGCAAAGAAAACATACCTGCAGACATGCTGGTGAAAGAAGAAGCCATACCAAACGACACACAAAACCTTCTCCTCTCTGCAAAACTCAATGCTCTCCAAAATATAGGTTATTGGAACAAATAAGAGCGTAATCTTTGTGAGAGCAGTGGCTTGTGGTTTTATACTGCGAGGCCCGAATTGCCCTGTAACAATCAAACAAGGAATACAAACCCAATCCTTGTACAAGTATGAATCCTACTCTCGAGCCAATAACAGAGTTTCAATCCAAACTAGAATTGGATTAACTCTTATAGACACATTAAGACTTCTTTATATCAATTAGAAATACACAAGGATTATCTCAATTCGTAAGAATTACACTCATACTCTAACATATTGATGATATAATGACCATACAATGATAATATCATGATGATATGGTTAAAATTGATCAAATCTACAACCAAATGTCAAAAACTGATCATTCCAGCTAATTGCCCTATATTTTTTGACATCTTTGGGAGGTGGGATATGTCAAGCAAAGAGAGAAAAAATTTAGATCCCAACTTACATTTCTCCGATTTGAGTATTACATCATCCAAAGATGTAAAGTGAAATTTAATATGGTTTTCACCTCGCAAATTTGTATCTATTCATTGAAGATGCTCTTGTAAGACAATATTCAAAGGGTTCCAAGTTAAATATAGCATTTTATTGGAACATTAATTCTAGCATTACTACTAAATACATTGCAACAGGGGCTTTATAGCTCAAGTCATTGAAAACATTCGTTTCTACTAATGACGACAATTTAAATGCATCACAACTAACAATTCAATTACTAGGAACCACAAGGTATTATTTGGTACATTAACCATAATAATAGTTTCTACCACTGACATACTAAGGAACCTGTAAACAAGTCCAAAAATATCCCAAGTTTACCTTCATCATGTACGCATAAGAACACATCCTTTAAAGACAATTCTTTGGCCATTCTTTTTTAGTCCTAGAAGTGCAATTAGCATCGAGTAATGTTCGCCCATTAGACCATTTCGAATGGTGTTCGAACTTATCGAGCATATCGAGCATGGTGCTCGAATGCCAACACCATTGAAAAATAAATAAATAAACAAAAATATTTAAATAGGTCAAAATTGGCCTAAGGAGCCCAAAGGCCCGTTTGCTACTCTATTTGAGGGAATTGGATCCCATTCGGATACATTTTGTGGGAATCTTATCTTCACATCTTAGTCATTCATCGTATATCGTGTGGTTATAAATCATTTGACTTTTTTATTTAAAATTAAACACAAATAGTATCTGACAAAAATTGGTCGTATGATGTATGATGAACAACTAAGATGTGGGAATCCCTAGGATCCCCACAAAGTGGATCTGGAGAGGATTGACACACCCCGACCGAAATCAAGGTGTGCTGGCCGTCATGCGAGGGTGACCTAGCCATGTGCACGATGCGGAAGCAAAAATAATAATAAAAATGTGAATAAATAAAAACCAACTACTAGCAGTACTAGCTAAGATAACATGCTAGTGCAAGATTAAGTGTGATAACACAACCAGAGCATAAGTAGCCTAAGTGCAGTCCAGCAGGACAAATACTAATTATACGAGACCCAAAGGTGACCATACAATGTTGATAATCTGTCAGAGCTACCGTAGATTCCTCGTAAGCCACCAAAAAGCACTCTTAATTAGAACCTAGAGGGGCGCAAAACAGAAAGTGCGAGGGGGCAAAACAAAGCTTTTCAAAATCATTTCATTTCTCAAAAGTTCTAACCCCTCACTGTAAAACCTGTATAATTTCCCAGAAAATAGAATATAT